ATCTTTACCACACATTATAAATATTTAACTCTGAAACAAAGGGATTTTCATGGTTTTTTATTTTAGTTCTTTATTTGTTTCTGTTTATTGTTTTTTGCTATTTCATTGGGTGAGCCACCCAGAGTCACGTATATGAGATGGGCGGCTATATGAAATGAAATGAAATGAAATGAAATGAATTGGCTGGGTGGCTTTACCTTCCTTTGTGGGGACGATGCATGTGGTTGGAATAAGAGCCCTTCTATTGGCAAGGAGCATCTCAGGCCACCTCTGGTGACTCTGTTTGTGCTGAGGATTGAGTTCCCATGGGATTCATCTGTGAGGGATCCATGCTGGTTGTGAATGGATGTGTCAGAATCAGAAGTGAGTGGGGACAATCCTTTTGCTTCCTCTGTAATTCCTTTCTTCTTCCCACCTTTTCCTTCTCTCTTTCTGCAGCTGTCCCACTGGTGCCTCCTTCCTTTCTTCACCACTATCAGGCAGGGTGGGGCAGATTCTTCTTTTTCAGAAGCTGGAGCCAATGGCTGGAATTTCCATTGTCTGGCCTGAGATGTGTTTTTCTAAGCTTCTGCACACTACATGGTGGTAACATTTACATATAAAAGCCATGCTGAACTAGAGGTCACCGATGTTACACAAATACAGATGACCAAGTGATGGTGGGAACTCCTATTGACCACATAAACTCAATCATGCAGTTTCTTGGCAGTGTTTAGTAAGTGATTAGGCATTGCTTTCTTTCAGGATATTTTTTATCTTCACAATCTAATTTGCAGCCTTGGGATTCCTTGCTGGTTTTCCATCCGGGCACTAACCAGGCTCAGTCCTGCTTAGCATCCAAGACGACCAAGGTGGGCAAGTTTGTTAGCCCCAGTTACATATGCTGAGACGAACAAACTTTGGTTTAAGTTAATTTGAGAACTGCAGGAGTTGAACAAGGCAGGCAAGTCTGTGAATTGCTGCTAACATCAGTCCTTTATTTTTTCATTAGTATGGGAGAAATTTTATTTCATTTCATTTGTACAATGTAGAGGTTGCCCAACTCCACACAGTTCTGGGTGCTTACAGTTCTAAAAGCAGAAGACAATAAAAAGAAAACCAGGTCACATGCATCCGGAAGAAAACCATACAAAATGTTCCACAGTGGTTTGGCAACTATCCTACTCCAGGGCCAGGGAAACTAGCCAAATTTTCAGTGGTGTTTCAAACATCAGGGTGGAAGTCAAACAAATCTCTGGGGGACTATTCCAGAGGGCAGGCAGCTGCAACTTCCTATATCCTGATAGGTGACAAAGTTTAGTTTTTGTTTAATCTTAAAATGTTTGCCTTTAGAAGCAGAGCCAGATGGGTTCTTTGATAAGAAAAATTTCAAAGTCTGATATAACTGGAATCAACCAAACTGTCACACAAAGAATGAGCAGGTTCTGCTCTAGAACCTATTATGAGGATGTTAAAGGAGAAAAAGCTAGCTTGTGGCTATAGGGGTAAAGTCTGCATCTGATCCCAGTCTTAAAATGGGGTTGGTGAAGGATCTTCAGGATTTTAGGCAGGTTTCAGGTTACACTGTAGGACTGTTGAAACAACCATATATAATATTGATTTGAGCACTTTTTACCCTGCCAAGAAAAAATGAAATGAAAATGGCTTACAAAAATATTATCCATGATTTAATTACTAATAATGAAGATACAAAAATATTACCCATTATAAGCTAGCAAGGTTATGCTCAAAATCCTACAAGCTAGGCTTCAGCAGTATGTGAACCGAG